ATTGACTCATTGGAGTAGGATTGAGAGCCCAGAAAAGGCTCCAATCACCTGTGACCCTAAGCTGGAATAATTGGGTAAATAATTATCTTGTTTTTATTACTCTTTCTTAAATGTATGTATGGCTCACATTTATTTCAGTATTTAATGTTACAAGTATTTTGGTCTTTACTTAAAATTTAGTGATGTTTTTGTGACCAGAAGTATGCCATAGAAACTTAACTCTTACTTATATTGATTAGCCTGTGGTAAAATTTGTTTTATTACGTGTTGTTTCACTTGAAGTTGCAATTTCCAAGATCCTATAGACATTATCCTAGAAGACATTAAGTGAAGACTTCTGTGTGTATAAATAGATTTGAAATTAAAAATATAACAGATCTTCTGAAGTTGCAACAGTACTCAGAAGTATTATAAAATAGAAATCATTTCAAAAAGATTTCATTTCATTTTTGCCCAAAAGCTTTGTTTTGGTTTGTTTGTTTGTTTTTTGAGATGGAGTCTCACTCTGTCACCAGACTGGAGTACAGTGGCACAATCTCAGCTCACTGCAACCTCTGACTCCCTGGTTCAAGCAATTCTCCTGCCTCAGCCTCCCTAGTAGCTGGGATTACAGGCACGTGCCACCACACCAAGCTAATTTTTGTCTTTTTAGTAGAGACGGAGTTTCACCATGTTAGCCAGGATGGTCTCTATCTTCTGACCTCATGATCCGCCTGCCTCAGCCTCCCGAAGTGTTGGCATTACAGGTGTGAGCCACCATGCCCAGCCCCAGAATCTTTCCTTTAATCTATAAAAGACAAAACTGTTAAATACACATTTTTGTCAATTTAAATCTACCTATTTACCCAATTTTTATAAAATTATTTTTGTAATTATTTTAAAAAGAAAAAAGAATTGAGAGCCCAGAAACAGAGCTAAGGAAATATACAACTTTAGTGTATGACAGAGGTTGCATGACGTATTACGAGGAAAGGAGGAAATGTTTGAGAAATGAAGCTTGAAAAAAAAATAGTTATTTAATTAAGTTGGATTCCCTACCTCACATGATATACAAATATCAGCTGAAAATGGATTAAAGGCTTTAATGTGAATCAACACTTTAAAAACTTTTGGTAGATTCTGTTGGTAAACATTTTAATCCTTGGGGTATAAAAAGATACAGAGTGTTTTCTATAAAACCTTTGATAAATTTGATTACGTTCTTCATTTCAATTTATTACATTTTTCAGTTCCAGAATTTGATTCCTTTTTTTCAGTTTCAAGTTCTCCAGTAAACTCTCAATCATAATTCTTTGAATATGTTAAGTATAGTTACTTTAAATAATGTCTGAAAACTTCATTATTTGGATCCTTTGTGATTATTGCCTGTTGCTTTCCTTTTTAAAAAATAATCGTTTTATTTTGCCTCCTCGTATGCCTGGTTATTTAAGATAGAATACCAGTCATTTTCTGTGAAAAAGTATAAAGATTTTAGACCTACGATATTATCTCCCTGCAGAAAATTTTCTTCTGGCTGGTGGCTGGGTACACTAGCAATTCCAGATCACCTAAAATCAATGAATGATTTAGGTTATTTGCGGCTGGGTTTTCATCCCTGAGATCTGATTTGTTTCCAGTTACCTTTACTCTTAGGGTATAGCTCTTCCAGACCTCAAATCCCCAAAAGTCTTGGGTATTTACCATATTTGACATCCTTGGCAGACTCTCAAGTCCTTTATTTCTTCCCCATATTTTATCGAATGTTCATCTCAATCTTCTTAACCATCTCTTAGAAAATTGTCAGGCTATATTCAGATAAAAGTGGCCTCTCATTCTGAACTCTGGATTTTCTTCTCTCATATTTTGGTCCCATAATTTTTCATGAGCTTGTTGGCTCTCTAACATCATTAGAGAAATTTTGTTTCATATTTTGTTCACTTTATTAGTTATTATGGTCGAATTGGTCCCAGTTCACAGATTATCATCTGCCATTACCAAAAGTAGAACTTCTTTTCGTTAACTTTTACTTTATGCTTTCTTCAGTAACTTGTAAAAATATCTAAATGCTTTGTTGTTCAATAGGCCTTTAATTAATTCTTCAGTCATGTAAGTTAACTGAGGAAATATATAATGAGTATCAAATGTATGTAAACCACTATGTTCCATGCCTAGTGGAGATAAGTCAGACACCCCTTCTGATTTCATTTGAAACTTCGTCTAATAGGATAGAAGAGGCATACATAAATTATTATGTAAGATTTTAAAACTTTTAAATGCATAATAAAGGTGTAGGTCAGTCTTACACTGATCTAGAGAGGAGAATTCCATTGCAGAGGATGAAGTTAGGCTTTATAGAAAATAAGCTTTGAGCTGGGTTTTCAGCCTTACACTAAATCTTGTATTGGGTAAAAACAGGTATCTGTAATGATTCTTGCCTGTCAGTGGTTTTTAACCACATTGTGCAGAGATGAAAGTAATTCTGATGCCGTAGTAATTGTATTTCCACAAATTGAGAAGATTCAAAGCAAAATCTCATTAACACTGTTTTTTTTTTTGAGAAGTAGGTAGAATTTCTTCTCTGTAATGGAACATGGCGTGACTAAATATTTTTAAACTTTGGCATATTGACCAGTTAATTTGTTTTTCTTTTATGTACCATTTAAAAATATTTAAAATCAACTTTTATTAAGATACAATAAAATCTACCGAAATATATCCTGCCACGTAACAATCATGTGGACTAAATCACGTAATTTAGTGGGCTATGGAACATTTCTATCACCCACTAAAATTACCTTGGTCCCCTTCTTGCTCAGTTCCTTACCCTGCCTCTGCCTCAGTCAATTACTAATCTGCCTTCTGTCACTGGAGATTAATCTTTTCTAAAATTACATATAAATGGAACTATACAGTATACTTTTGTGTCTAGTTTCTTTTGCTCATCATGGTTTTAAGATACATTCATTTGGTGGGTATATATCCATAGTTTGTTCTCTTTTATTGCTGAGTTTATTCCATTGTAGGACTCTACCACAGTTTGTTTATCCGTTCACAGAGTTCACATAGGTTTGTTTTTAAACTTACCAGGAACATCTAGCTGCCAATTTATCTTTTTTGCATTTTGATTACTCATCTTTGCAATTGAGAGACACTTAATATCTTGAACTCTACATTTATAATGCTGTAAAAACGGATTTGGAAGAGGTAGCTCTCATACTGCCTACACAATAGGCAGTAAAGTATGCTGCTGTAATACAGGTGTTGGTATCATAACATTTGACCTTTTAATTGTACAAATGTGTTTTAATACACTCTTTCAAAGATTAGACATAAGAATGCTAATACTGGGATAATTCTAAATGTTGTGATAGCTATGGAGACTGTCAGTGTCATTAAATAAAAACAGTACAAAATATGTTATCATTTTTATTAGTTTTTACATGTAAAATAAGGAATTTGGGCTTAATTATGTTTCTAAATTTAGCGTTTCAAAATTTAATACTTTGCAAGGTAAAACTTATATAATGTGCATGTCATGTTTTTTAAAAATATGAATGTTATTGCTATAGCTTATGGTATTTGAAAAAGCAATATTTTCTTTTGGAACTGGATTTCTGGTTCAATTATTAATTTAACAAATTATTTCTATTGTGAGCTTTTCTAGTTCTATAGAATTGCAAAATTTTTAATTAAAAAAATTTAAGCGAAGCTAATTTGCACACAAAATTACTTATGGAAGCTGGCTATCTTACTTTTTTTTGTTTCTTGGTATTTCATATTTAAAATGTTGATCCACATTTTAGCAGATATTCTTGTGTGTGTCATTTTTATGTATAACATATGTACAATTTTCTAATAGAGTTCAATCTTTAAAAGCATAGGCTCTAAATTCAATTACTTGAGTTCACATTTTCACCCTACCACTGTTAAACTGTGGGCAAGTAATTCATTTCTTTAAATTCCAGGCCAGGTGCAGTGGCTCACACCCATAATCGCAAGACTTTGGGAGGCCACAGTAGGTGGATCACTTGAGCCTGGGATTTGAGACTATCCTGGCCAACATAGTAAAACCCCATCTCTATAAAAAAGTAGAAAAATTAGCTGGGCGTGGTGGCGTGTGCCTGTAGTCCCAGCTACTCAAGAGGCTGAGGTGAGAAGATCACTTGAGCCTGGGAGGCAGAGGTTGGGGTGAGCCAAAATCATATCACTGCACTCCATCCTGGGGAATAGAGTGAGACCCCTATCTCAAAAAAATTAATTAAATTCAGTTCCTCACTAGTAAAATGGGAATGAAAGTAATTCTTGTACAGATTTAGGAGATAATTTACAGAGTCCTTAACACAACAACTGGACCAAATACATACTTGTTGAATGAATAAGTAAATGCCATTCTTTGTTGTGTACGAACCTGCAACTATTTTTTGAAACTTTGATTTGTTATTAATGTCAACTTGGGAGTCTGCTTTAAATCCCAGGTGAGGGGATAGTTACTTCCTGAACATGGCTGTATTTTTTCAAATACTGTTAAACAGTGACTACTTGATAAGAATGGTAAAAGGCAATCTTGAGATTGTATACTATTCTGTTTTTATTGGTACAGATTTGGATGCTATTCAAGGTTATTGGCTATAATGGGCAGGGAGGAGTACCTAGCAGGACTTTAGGTCTATGTGACTATTTTGCTTTTTGTTTCTTTGTTTTTGAGACAGAGTCTCACTTTGTTGCCAGGCGCCAGGCTGGAGTGCAGTGGCACAATCTCGGGTCACTGCAACCTCCACCTCCCAGGTTCAAGCCTCAGCCTCCCGAGTAGCTGGGACTACAGGTGCATGCCACAACGCCCAGCTAATTTTTGTATTTTTAATAGAGACGTTTCACCATGTTGGCCAGGATGGTCTCGATCTCTTGATCTCGTGATCTGCCCGCCTCGGCCTCCCAAAGATCTGGGATTACAGGCTTGAGCCACTGTGTCCCAACTATTTTACATTCTTAAAAAAAATTCTTTTTTTTTTAAAACTATTCAGTGCCTGAAAAACAGCTGATTGATATTGAAGATTGTGATCTCAATGTGGTGAGATTATGTTTTCAAGTTTTCCTCCCTGATGAACATGGTAATTTGACAACTGCTCTTCCTCCTGTTGTCTCGAACCCAATTTATGACAACCGTAAGTACTTCATTTTCTTGTATTTGTAGTCTTAACTTGTTTTTTATAATAGTTTAATTCTTAAAAGTATTTTGGTAATTAGAAAAACAATATATTTATGATAGGAAAACTTCCAGACGTTACAGAAATATTATAACAGAGAGTAAATCTCTAATCTCATCCTCCAGAGATAATCACTATGCTTAGGTGCATATTTTACCAGTTTCTTGTTCCTATGTACACACAAATACACTGTCATCATCATTTTTGACATAGTTACAATTTTGGCAACTTAAAAAAAATCATAAGTGATAATTGTTTTAAAAACTAACTTTCATCTTACCATCTATCTTGAACATTTTCCTTTCAGTCACCTTATTTGTTTCAGTAGCAGCATATTTCATTATATAGTTATATCATAATTTTATTAATTACCCTCTTACAAGACATTCATTTTGTTTCTTTTCTCATTTTTTATTTTTTCACTAACTGTACTGCAATACATATTCTTGTATATGGTTTTTTTAGGGGCTTTTTTAGTTTTGTTTTGTTTTTGCAGTGTAGGGTCTTGCTTTGTCACTCAGGCTGGAGTGCAGTGTGCAGTCATGGCTCGCTCACTGCATGGCAAATGCTGGATCAAAGGATATGGATATATCTAATTTTAGAAGATTATGAAACTTCCCCCCAAAATGCTGTGTGTGTGTGTGTGTGTGTGTATGTGTATGTGTATGCGTGTGTGTGTATGTACATAGGCATCTCTATATACATCCACCAATGGTGTATGGCTATACCTGTTGTACATGTAGGGTAGTGAGACATAGGTCTATAAAGGTAGATTAGAGTATCCTTAATATGTAGAGCTTTAAATGCCAGGGATAATTATTATAATCTTACAGCCAGATAGTAGGAAGCATGAAAGTTGTATTGCCATAAGGAGATGTATTGCCATAGGGAAAATTGTGTTGCTGTAGGGATATGGCCATGATTTATAAAGATTAATCTGGTGACAGTTGTGTAGGATTGATTGGCAGAATCAGAATTTAGAAGCAGGGAGCTATAATTAGAGAATGTGTCATTACCTAGAAATGAAGTCACAAGTCTAAAGTAAAGCAGTTAGAAAGGAAGTGGACAAATATAGATGATTAGTGTATTTAGTGTCCTTTATTTATACACTAAAACTTTTATTCTGTGAATGGTTTTCCTCAAATTCTTCCCTTCAAAAAGAAATAAAATATTATGTAGCAACTCATTTTTTTTTTAAATCCTTTATATTTAGGTGCTCCAAATACTGCAGAATTAAGGATTTGTCGTGTAAACAAGAATTGTGGAAGTGTCAGAGGAGGAGATGAAATATTTCTACTTTGTGACAAAGTTCAGAAAGGTATTTATTTATTTCGTTGAATTTAGAATAAAATTTAGATTAATAGATGCAGTTACTTTGTTTTCCCATTGTTATTTCTTTTGTTTCTTATTTACTAGATGACATAGAAGTTCGTTTTGTGTTGAATGATTGGGAAGCAAAAGGCATCTTTTCACAAGCTGATGTACACCGTCAAGTAGCCATTGTTTTTAAAACCCCACCGTATTGCAAAGCTATCACAGAACCTGTAACAGTAAAAATGCAGTTGCGGAGACCTTCTGACCAGGAAGTTAGTGAATCTATGGATTTTAGATATCTGCCAGATGAAAAGGGTATGACATTATGCTGGTAATAATTTATATATTTCTTAAAGTGGTCCTGCTAATAACATCTTGTAAGATTCATTTAAATACAGCTATGTATATTCATAATTTGTGTTTCTTTTCCTGGAAACTTTCCGTTGGGTTTTTTTCTTTATGCTCTTTGCATCTCATTTGTTGTTGTTTTTTTTTTTTTGGTTTTGTTTTTTTGAGACTGAGTCTTACTCTATCACCCAGGCTAGAGTGCAGTGGTGCAATCTCAGCTCACTGTAACCTCCGCCTCCCGAGTTCAAGCAGTTCTGCCTCAGCCTCCCAATTAGCTGGCACTATAAGCACGCACCACCACCCCCAGCTACTTTCGTGTTTTTATTAGAGATGGGGTTTCACCATGTTAGCCAGGCTGGTCTCTGCGTTTCTTTCTTAAGAAAGAGGTTTGGGCCAAGCTCGGTGGTTCACGTCTGTAATCCTAGCACTTTGGGAGGCCAAGGTGGGCGGATCACAAGGTCAAGAGATGGAGACCACCCTGGCCAAAATAGTGAAACCTTGTCTCTACCAAAAATAGAAAAATTAGCTGGGCATGGTGGCACGCACCTATAGTCCCAGCTATTTGGGAGGCTGAGGCAGGATATTTGCTTGAACCTGGGAAAAAGAGGTTTCAGTGAGCCGAGATCATGCCACTGCACTCCAGCCTGGCGACACAGCAAGACTCTGTCTCAAAAATAAAAAAAGAGGTTTGATTAGTATGGAATAATTTCAAAGTATCTAAACTGCTTATTAAAATTTCTATTGTATTTTTGAAGGTCTATTTTTGTCCTTGTGCACTTACCACTCAGAGAGTAGTCTCTATATTGACTTCTTATCCAACCTTATTGTATTAGTTCACATTATTGACTTGTGTGATAAGAAAACAAGATGAATATTTTAAACTGTTTGTTTTGGTTTGTTTTGAGACAGGGTCTCACTCTGTCACTCAAGCTGGAGTGCAGTGGCATGATCATGGCTCACCAGAGCTTCAACCTCCTGGGCTCAGGTGATTGATCATCCCACCTCATCCTCTCTGGAGTACCAGGACTACAGGTGTGCACCACCACACCAGGCTAATTTTTGTGGGTTTTGTTTGTTGGTTTGAAATGGAGTCTTGCTCTATCTTCACCAGGCTGGAGCGTAGTGGTATGATTTCGGCTCACTGCAGCCTCTGCCTCCCGATTTAAGCGATTCTCCTGTCTCAGCCTCCTGAGTAGCTGGGACTACAGGCATGTGCCACCACACCCAACTAATTTTGTATTTTTAGTAGAGACAGAATTTCACCATGTTGGCCAAGCTGGTCTCAAACTCCTGACCTCAGGTGATCCACCCTCTTCGGCCTCCCAGAGTGCTGGGATTACAGGCATAAGCCACTGTGCACAGCCAATTTTTGTATTTTTTGTGGAGACAGGGTTTTGCCATGTTGCCCAGGCTGTCCTCAAACTCCTGGGCTCAAGTGATCCACCTGCCTCTCGAAGTGCTGGGATTACTTTAAACAATTTTTTACCAAGAGAAAAATATCCTTTACTACTGATAGTACTGATTTGGGACATATTCTATAATACTTATTAAATCCAAATTATATACATATTTATTGAAAACATTTTCTATATGTGAATAAAATACTTGTTTATTAGTGGAGAGTTTAATTTTTTACCTGCTTTTTTTGGTTTCTTTCTAATCAGATACTTACGGCAATAAATCAAAGAAACAAAAGACAACTCTGCTTTTTCAGAAATTGTGGCAGGATCATGGTAAGAATATTTTTGATTGATTCATATTTAAATAGGTTTTGTTTTATTTGCTTTATTCAGGTTTTCAATTTTTACTTTTGTTTTGTTTTTGTTTAGTAGAGACAGGGCCTGTCTTTCAGCCAGGATGGAGTGCGGTGGGGCAATCTCAGCTCACTGCAACCTCCACCTCCCAGGTTCAGCAATTCTCCTACCTCAGCCTCCTAATTAGCTGGGATTACAGGCATGTGCCATCACACCTGGCTAATTTTTAGTATTTTTATTAGAGGCGGGGTTTCCCCATGTTGGCCAGGCTAGTCTCAAACTCCTGACCTCACGTGATCCACCACCTTGGCCTCCAAAAGTGCGGGGATTATAGGCAGAAGCCACCACCTCTGGCTGGTTTTTCAAATTTTAACTGATAGTGTTATTTTTCAAATTATATTTAATAATGGAAAAACTTTATCCTAACAGTTAATTTTCCTGAGAGACCAAGACCTGGTCCCCTTGGATCAATAGGAGAAGGAAGATACATCAAAAAAGGTATTTTATTTCCTATAGCATATTTCTTGTGATTAGAAAGACCAGAGCTTGGCACAATGTATTGGAACTCTGTATTTAGGAATGAATAACTACTTTTTTGAAAATTTTCTCTCCTTCAGATTTTTCTTGGTTTCAGTATAGAATGAATTGAACATGGCTTCTGAAGGTTGTGTTAGAAACAGATTGTGTTTTTGGGATTTATTTTTCAAGAAATAACATGTGTTTTATACAGTAGCAATTTTATTAATTATATCATGTTATGGAAAAAATGTTATTGATTTGGTTAGTTACCAATTTTTATAAATACAATTTTACTGGAACATGGCTATGAATATTTGATTAAATACTGTCTCTAAACTGCCTTTTTAACACCATGGCAACAGAGTTGAAAAGTTCCAACAGAGGCTGTATATAGCTCACAGAGCCTAAAATATTTACTATCTGACTTTTTACAAGAAAAAAAATTGCCAATCCCTAGTTTAGATAATTCGACCAAGGGCTAACGGGCTAATTAGAAGTCCTTTCTACCCCCTTACATTCTTAAATCAGTGCTTTTTCCTGGTTTAGGTTGTCAAGCATTTGTATAATATGTAAATAAATACAGAATTAATTTTTTCTGACTGTGAATTTTATAGTCTGTTAGGATTGTGTCATAATATATCTTAAAAGTTGTGTATTTTCTTATTATCCCTAATGGGTGTTTTCTCCATCCTTCCATTTTCTCCTAAAAGTGGAGAGTAAGAGATGATTTTGGCTGTTTGGAGTCCCATTAATTAAAATTCTCATATTTATCTTCCAGTTTTCAAAAATACATTTATAGAGCCTCAGAAACTAGATTTTCATTTAACTGGAGTGAAAGTACATATGCCAGAGTAATTTGCCAAAATCATTTTTCCTGTATTTGTAAACGGTATATGTTACAGAATTTCATTTTGGATTTGTGTAATAATTTTAGTGCTTTTTACATTTTTTATTTGAAATGTTACATTGGTTTCCTTGACATTTTTTTGTGTATTTATTTGTGTTCATATGCAATTTTAATTTAGAAATAATACTTTTTCTAATTTTGTTTATTTTAATTTTGTAAAATAAATTTTTCCTCCCACAGAACCAAACTTGTTTTCTCATGGTGCAGTTGCGACAGAAATGTCCAGACCTACAGGGATTTCAAATCAAGGAGAATCCTACTATCTCTCACTTGGGCACATCTCAAGTGGATTGTCACGTCATGCCTCAATGCCACCTCCGCCTTCTTCAAGCTGGTCATCAGTGGCCCACCCCACCTCACGCTTAGTCAATACAAATCCACTGAGCAGTTTTTCAACAGGGACACTTCCTTCTAATTCACAAGGTATCCCACCATTCCTGGGAATACCTGTTGAGAATGATTTAAATGTTTCTAATGCTTGCATTTATAACAATGCTGACGACATAGTCGGAATGGAAGCGTCATCCATGCCACCAGCCGATTTATATGGTATTTCTGATCCCAACATGCTGTCAAATTGTTCTGTGAATATGATGACCACCAGCAATGATAGCATGGGAGAGACTGATAATCCAAGACTTCTGAGCATGAATCTTGAAAACCCCTCATGTAATTCAGTGTTAGACCCAAGAGACTTGAGACAGCTCCACCAGATGTCCTCTTCCAATATGTCAGCAGGTGCCAATTCCAATACTGCTGTTTTTGTTTCACAGTCAGATGCATTTGAGGGATCTGACTTCAATTGTGCAGATAACAGCATGATGAATGAGTCAGGACCATCAAACAGTACCAATCCAGACAGTCATAGTTTTGTTCAAGGTAGTCAGTATTCAGGTATTGGCAGTATGCAAAATGAGCAGTTGAGTGACTCCTTTCCATATGAATTTTTTCAAGTATAACTTGCAAGATTTAAATCATTTTAAGTCTTGGTATCACCTGTGTAGGTGCAGCATTTTGTATTTGTCTGACTGGGAATATAGTACTGTATTTGAGAATATAAAAAAAACTTTTTTCAGGGAAGAAGCATGCAACTTTGGACGTAGTGAACACAAAATTGGAAGCTGTCATAGAAAGACAACTCAGAGGCTGGGCATAGGAACTTACACCTGTAATACTAGCACTTTGGGAGGCCTAGGCGGCTGGATCACTTGAGGCCAGGAGTTCAAGCCCAGCCTGGCCAACATGGTGAAACCCCGTCTCTACTAAAAATGCAAAAATTAGGTGGGCATGGTGGTGCACACCTGCACTCCCAGCTACCTGGGAGGCTGAGGCACAAGAATTGCTTGGACCCAGGAGGCGGAGGTTGCAGTGAGCTGAGATCTCACTACTGCACTCCAGCCTGAGTGACAGAGTAAGACTCCATCTCAAAAAAAATGCTTTTATGCTTTTTTATATTTCTTTTTATAATGTTTTAATGTATTCTTAAATTTCAAGTAAATTTAAGATAAAACTTGTAATGGCTATGCCATTGAAAAACTTAATTTCTTATTTTTGAGGCCCATGGGCCAAGGTAACCCCTAAGGGGTTTTCTTAGGCTTCTTGGAGTTTCTTAGGTTTGTATGTGTATCAAAATGTCTTTAGTGTTACGTTGGGCAGAAGTGAGCTTTTAAGGTATGGGAGGTTTTCTACATTTTATACTATTTCAATCTATGCCTTTAAAGTTACTTATACTTTTAGCTTTACACTCATATTTTTTAAGGGGAAAAAGTTTCCTTGGACCATTCTCCTTAAATGTCCTCACTCCTTGTGATCTCATAAAACTGCCTATTTGATATCTCTATCTAGAAATTGAATTAAAGCTCACACTCACCATATCCAAAACTGAATTCTTGGTCTTCCCTCCCAAACTTGCTTCTCCTTCAGTCTTCCCCAACTCAGTAAATGGCAATGCCATGCTTCTAGTTGCTCAGGCCAAAAATCCTGGAGTCATCCTTTGTTCTTCTTTTAGCTCCCATATCCAATCCATTAGCAAATCTAGTAGACCCTACCTTCACAACGTAGCTAAAGCTGACCCCCTCTTTTGACCTCTGCTATTAACACCCTTTTCCAAGCCACCATTTCTTCCCTGGATTGAAGGTATCATCTACAAAACTTCTCCTTATATCCTTGAATCCCTACAGTCTGTTTAAATTAGCCAGAGTGATTATTTTAAAAATAAGTCAATTCATTCCATTCATCTGCTCAAAACCATCCAGTGGCTTCTTATCTTAGAGCAGTCAAAGTCCTTAAAAGTAGCAGGCCTAGACTCCCTGTCCTACCTCAGGTTCTGCCATTTCATCCTTATACAGCTCCAGGCACCTTGACCTCAGTGCTCCCCTTCAAAGCATCAAGTATGCACCTGCCCTGGACCCTGGTACTTGGTATTCCCTCTCCCTTGAATGTTCTCTCACAGAAAAATGCATAGTTCATTCTTTTACATCCTTCAGGTGTTGCTCCACTGTTACCTGAGCAAGGTCTTCCTTGACTCTATATGCATCAGCATTCTCTGTCCCCCCTGCTTTATGTATGTCCATAGCACTTACCATGATCTGACCTTACTAAGCATTTATTTGTTTATTGTTTGTTTTCCTATACCGGAATATAAGCTTTCTAAGGACAGCAATTTTTGTGCTTTATTGTTGAATCTCCAATTTGTAGGAAAATGCCTGCCTTATATTAAACACTCAGTAAATATTTATTGAACATTAAAAGTATTACTAATAGAACTTTGGTTTTTGAAAGAAATATTAACTGTAATTATAAGACGTATATCATTTTTGCAGTTTTACTTAGTGTGACATTGGGTTTATGAGAATCATGTACATTCAAGTCCAGGAATAATAATGGTCATCCAAATTGTTTGAAAGCAAAATAATCCCAGTGGCAAAATGATGGTAGAATTTGGGTAGTCTTTTTTTTCCTTTTATGAAAAGAACTCTTATGGAAGGTAAAACATCTGTTCATTGAAAATCTCTAAATCCACATTTTGACATTGTCGGGCTCATTGCAACTTCTGGATTGAGTAACATTTACAACAAGATTTACAAAAGAGACTCTTCACATATTCATTTGGCTTGTCTCATATGGTGAGCTGAGTGCTGGGTAATCTCTGCTGGCCCTTTAATCAGATTAAAAATTCTCAGTGTTTCCTAGTTGTTTCTACATACTTACCTAAGTTGTTGTAGCTGTAACTTACACTTTATTTGCTGTTTTTCTTTCCTGACTTGGTAATTCTGGCATTTAGAAACCTTTTACCTGTGCTTCAAAGCATAGTTACATACATTTTAGTAACTATTTTAGTAGTTTCATTTGCTATAAAATTATTTATTTTGCCCTTTTATTTCCCAAAGACATTGTAAGGGTTAATTAGATCATTATATTTTATTATTACAGATTAAAGTTGGGCAGTAATCTTAATTGTGATGGAATTATTATGTTAAGTAATTAACTTATTAAAGACCTAGTTTGTTTTACAACTAGAACCTGTGCTAAATGTTGAGTATGTTCCTAGCAAGAAACAGTCTGTCAACACGATGTCTAACCAAACCATAACTTTCCATACACTAGTCATTTCAGTCAAATTGGGGAATGTGTGAATGCCATGCAAACAAAAATTCTGTTAACTGATACTGGGAAATAGGGAAGAGAGCAAGATAAGACTTGGGGTCAGGATGGTTCAGGAAGGAAAAAAAGAATTAGAAACCCTAACTGATTACCATTAATATTCCTCATAAATTATGATTTCAAAAGTAAGTATTGCTGTCTTATAAATTTTTCATGAGCAGCAGTGATGAACTCTCACAAGAATCATAGAATTCAATAAAAAGATAGAAAATAATTTTTTATTTAAAAATATAAATTAAATTTTTAAAATCATAATCACATAAATAGAACTTACCAGGGAGAAAAAAAAAACCTGAAGGCACAATTTCTTTCCTGTTTAAAATATGAACCCAGGATGTCTCCACATGGTGATGGACAGGTGGGGAGGTTTTTTAAATACGGAATCTCATAGTTTTGTGTTCATTAGCACCAGTTAGTTTAAACACTGACTGTTAGAATAGCTACATGGATTTTTTTTTAAAGCTAAATAAGTGTTGGCTAGTTTTGCAGTTTGGCTAGTTGGCTAGTCTTCCCTGTGTAAGCAGAATTAAGATTCTGCTACATCTGTGTTTAGAATCTTCCCAATGGATTTTACATTTTTCAGGTGCTACTTTTTGATCAAAGACTGTAAAATGAATTTGACAGCATTTCTCCTCTATCTCCACATGTATTTATTCTTTCACCTGCTCTTTTAACACCTGCTTTTAGTTTCTGAGGCATTTTTCTGAACTCTACTTGTGCACTGAATTCCTCCTCCTTTCTCTCCCAGCCTGTGTTTACTTTATCCTCACATTATCACTTAGTGCTTTCTTTCTTTGTATGAACATGGTAAATGTCTTCATTAGACTAAAAGGAAAGACCAAAAAAAAACCTTTCCAACCACCTGTATGACACTTGACTTTGCATCCTGACTTCTGAAATGCCTCCAACCTCCATTTTCTCCCTTCCCAGTCATTCGTTAGCCCAGCGATCTCTGTCTTTAACTCCTACAATGTTCTTAAGATATTCTGTTAAAGATGAGCCGAGACTGCCCTCCTTGTCAAATCTCATGTCTTTTTATCAGTCCTCACATTGCTTGACCTACTGATAACCTCCTAGACTTCCCTCTTTGGACACTCCTCTGGGTGTTCTGTGGTAGACAAGATTCCTCTCTGAGACTTATTTCCCAAGAATCTCGACCCCTCTCCTCAGTTGGTGCTATTTTTCCCCCCGGATGATCTTATCAGAGCCCACAGCTTCAGTTTTCACTCATGCCACCTGAATGCCCTGATAAACTGGCTCTCTGTCTTGCATTCTTTACCTTCCTTATAATGGCATTACCATTTACCATGCCACTCAAGATACTAGGAACCTCAAAGTGTTGTAGTCTTTTTCTCCATCATTCATAATTAATCATTAAGTCCTTTTGAGCTTGCTTCCTCTTGCTGCTTTCTTAGTAAAGGCCTTCATTCTTTTTCCCTAGTAATAATCTTTTCCATATGTTCCAGTTAAAATACCATGTTCACCCTAAGCCTTATTACATAGTTAGCATTCCTTGAAAGAAAACAATTCTCTCAGGCCTTCATACCTTTAACATGTTACCCACTCTGCCTCTGCTCTTCTGCAACTAGAACACTCATCCTTGAAGACTGGGCTTCTCTATGAAGCTTGGTCCTGCCTCCCAGGTTGAGGCGAAGCTTTGTACATGCCTGTATTATGGATATCCTCTCATTTAAGTGTTTGTCTCATTCGTCTTTAGGACTCCAGCACCCAGCATAGTCCCCAGTATACTAGATGGTGCTGAATAAGTGGTAGCTATTATTAGAGAAGGATGGATAAAATTACTGAATAAATGTTAGCTATTACTAGAGGAGGAAGGATGAAATTGACATAGGGGTGATTATTACAATGTATATGGAAATGGTTTTTAAAGGAAAAGGTAATGATTTTCTGTCAGGAAAAGCAGCAATGCCTAGATTACTTAAGTCTTGTGAAATATACCTCTGTTCCTTGACCTGCCACTTCCCTTTTTAACACACACACACGCCCCACAGCCCTTTGAGATTGAAAGCAGCTCTATTGAGAATACTAGTGTCAACTGTATTATGTAGAAATTTTAAAGTTTTTAGGATTATTTCATAGCCCTGACCTTGCTACTTCTCTCCACTTTATGTGGCAGGTTTAATCTCAAGTCTCCCTCATATAGTTCTCAGCCTCAGCACCTAACCCTTATACAGACACTCCAGTATTGATGTAATCAATCTTAATAATCACATTTTTTGAATGTCTAATGTGCAAAGCACCATGTTGAAAATGATACAGAGGTGAATAAGACAAAAACTCTTGCTCTCAAAGATGTCAGTCTTTTTCTTTGCGAGGATAATACATGTAAAGTAAAATGCATAAAGTGGACTAATTTTAAATGTACAGCCTAATGAATTTTTATTTATGTTAACACCTATGTCACCACCATGTTTAGGACATTTCCAGTACCCCAGAAATTTCCTTTATGACCCTTCCCAATCTGTACCTATACCTTTAAATCTATTCTGTTTTCAATCTTAATGACCTTTTAAATAACTGGGCCTCACAACTATAGTGAACAGAAACAGCTGGGTTGTTGTCTTCTAACCTAATACTTCAGGAAAACTCATGATAGTTCCATTTTAAGAGTTCTTGGAGCTGGGCATTGGGCATGGTGGCTTATGCCTGTAATCTCAGCACTGTGGGAGGCCAAGGTGGAAGGATTGCTTGAGCCCAGGAGTTCAGCCAGCCTGGATAATATAAGAAGAACCTGTCTCTGCAAAAAATAAAAAAAAATGGCCAGGCATGGTGAAATGTGCTGATGGTCCCAGCTATTAGGGAGGCTGAGGTGGGAGAATTCTTTGAGCCCAGGAGGTTGAGGCTGTAGTGAGCAGTGATTGCACCACTGTGCTCCAGCCTAGGCAAGACTGGAATTGGTGATCCAGGCTGCCTAGTACCCTCAAATAATTTGTTATTATCTTTAGTTGATTTACTGAGGGATCATCATGTACTATTAAATAGCCTGGAGAAATGGAAAGAATAGGAACTTTTTAGTCAGGTAATACCCAGCCTACTACCTCACAGGTTGTGTTGGGCTAAATAAAATGGTACATAAGAAGAAACACTGTAAATTATGTAGTGCTAATCGTATTGTTAATAAACCAATATGTGTATATTCTGTGGCCCTGATTAATCTTTAATTCAGACACTCCTAGTTATCTAGTACAGAGCAGACTGAAAAAAATTATGGATTCAATTCTTTAGTAAGAAACCTGAGACGGATTTCTCATTAGAATAACTAGTTATTGCCCAGATCTAAAGAGCCTTATTTTGGCCTTATTTTTACAGAACCATTTCCTGTTGATTAGTGAAGGTATGGCCAATTTTAATAACTTTAGTTCTGAAATTTTGTGACTCCTAATTTATTTGTAAAAGTTGGTTATGAATTGAGAATGGTTTGACTTTTCCTAAAAGTGAATCTGAGCTAATTAAGTTAACCACTGAAAGGTTTCTCATCTGTTTTGTTTTCAGACATTGACTATGAAAGGGGAAAAATTAGAATGCTTTTTGTATCACATGTAACAGGAAATGTATCATTTATTATAAGCCCAGAAATAGGTGACTAATCAGAGATAAATGTATGGGTTGTCTGTATCTAGTTTTATACCTTTTTTTGTCTAAGACACAGTCAAATTAATATTTTAACTAATACATCTTAGCAAAGTTTAGTTCAGCACAAGGTTAACAGTGGGTAGGATAGAGTTTTGAAAGTAATCATGTCTGTAATATTTTTCATGCATGCAAAAAGCACAGACAAAAACCACTCATGCCCTATTAATAAACAAAATACAGATCAAAATTTTAAAAAGTAATCACTCTGTTTATTCTAAATGTCTATGGCTTTAGGAAAAATAGCACCTGCTAGTACTTATCTATTTAAAGATGTAGAATTTATCATCCTACATCTTTATCACTTATCACTTGTTTCTACAACTTTAGTTTACAACTGAACTTTCAAAAATTTAAAGATTTACAAAGTAAAATTAATTAGACACCTGTGTGTGAATAGTAATACACAGTAGTTAGTACAGAATGTTACTTCTTCAACAAGTTGAGTTTTCAGGGAAATTAGCCAGTAAATAAAATACAAATTTTTGGTAAAAGTATCAAACATTCCTCTTGCCCACTTTTCCTCTTAAACTGAATATTATCTAATCAAAACATAGTTTTCCATAAGATGTAACAAAATATAGATAAGGTTGGAATATTTGGGGATCCATTTGTGGAACTGAATTTCATGAGACTTCATTGGTGATACACTCGATTTTTACTGGGTAATTAGCTGATAATGTTGTTCACTGTTGCCCAGTTCAGGTAGCTTTAAGATGATGTGGTAAGGAAAACAAAGCTTTTGGATAATGAGCATTCTTAAAAGCACGGTTTGGACCAGGTGAACCCTTTAGAAGTGAACTCTGTTTTACAAGTATGTACTTAAAATACCTTTGGCTGTGATGAATCTAGATCCCAGCAGAATACCAAAATTCTATTTTTTTGGCTGAATATTTGTATTTGCTTAATGACTGAAATGAATTTGGAGGCACTGATGAAAGTGATTTTTTAAAGTTCTCAGGTACTGTTCAATTATTTAATGTTAGGTTTAGTATCAAGAAGCATTGTTTTTAAAATGCCAATATGCCATCTATTATAGAGAATATTTTATTACCTTTGTAATATCTTTGTATAAAGTGATTTTTTTCTTGGTAATATAATAAATGGAAAAAATTGTAAAACACTTGCTAAAATTTTGTTGCTTTTTGACTTTTAAAATATCGATCAGATTTTCTTCATTTTTATAGCATCTTCCTAACAGGAAAAGGTAGTTTTGGTTGCTTAGAAACGTCAGGCATTTTTTTTGGAATGCTATTGCTGAATATGGTTGCATATGTAACTGTCCTTTGAAATGATAATTTTATAGAGTACTGAAGTGCCTTTTTTAAAGATTTTTTTTTTTCTTTTTCCCTTTTTTGGCTTAACCAACAAAAATCTGTTTTCAGAGGCTGAAAGTCCGAGATCAGGGGTACAGGGATGGTTTCTGCTGAGGCTCTCCTCCTGGCTTGCAGATGGCTGCCTTCCCGCCATCCTCACATGGTGGAAAGAGAGAAGGATAGAGATCTAGGGTGTCTCTTCTCTTTTTTGAGACAGGATCTCACCCTGTCACCCAGGCTAGAGTGCAGTGGCACGATCTCAACTCACTCTGCCTCCTGGGCTCAAGAGATCCTCCTGCCTCAGCCTCCCAAGTAGTTGGGACTACAGGCACATGCCACCATGCCCAGCCAATTTTTGTATTTTTGGTAGAGACAGAGTTTCACCACGTTACCCAGGCTGGTCTCGAACTCCTGGCCTCAAGTGATCCACCCACCTTGGCCTCCCAAAGTCCTGGGATTACAAGCATGACTCACCATAGCTGTCCTGGCTTCTTCTTTTCTTAAATCTTTCTTTTAAATTGACAAAACTGTATATGTTAATATTTATCTTTTACAACATGATGTTTTAAAATATGTATACATTGTGGAATGGCTGATTAACATTACTTCACATAGTTATTTTGTAATAACACTAAAATCTACTCTTAGCAACTTTCAAGAATATATTTGTTATTATCTATAGTCACCACGTTGTACAGTAGATCTCTTAAACTTATTCCTATCAAGCTGAAATAAATCCTTTGACCAACACCTCCCCGATCTCACAACCCCTATCCCAGTTCTAGTAACCCCCAGTTCTAGTAACTACCATTCTACTCTCTACATTTTTTTTTTTAGATGGAGTCTTGCTCTGTCGCCCAGGCTAGAGTGTAGTGGCATGATCTCAGCTCACTGCAGCCTCTGCCTCCTGGGTTCAAGCAATTTCCTGCCTCAGCCTCCCAAGTAGCTGGGACTACAGGCACGTGCCACCCTACCCAGCTAATTTTTGTATTTTTATTAGAGATGGGGTTTCACCATATTGGCCAGGCTGGTCTCAAACTCCTGACCTCATGATCTGCCCACCTCAGCCTCCCAAAGTGGTGGGATTACAGGCATGAGCCACCGTGCCCGGCCTCTACTCTACTTCTCTGAGTTCAACTATTTTAGATTCCACATGTAGGTGAGATCATGAAGTAATTGTCTTTCTGTGCCTGACTTATTTCACTTAACATAATGTTCTTCAGGTTCATCTGTGCTGTTTCAAATGACAGGATTTTCTTTCTTAGGTGTGAATAATATTTCATTGTACATATACACCACATTTTCTTCACTTATCTATTGATAGATGCATAGGTTGATGTCATATCTTGGCTATTGGGAATAATATTGCAGAGACTATGGGAGTCAGATGTCTCTTCAACATAATGATTTTATTTCCTTGGGATACATATATCCAATAGTGGGATTGCTGGATCACAGGTAGTTCTATTTTAAATTTTGTTTTCTGTTTTTTCCATACTAGCTATACTAATTTACATTCCCACTAACAGTGTGCCAACAGTTCTGTTTACTCCATATCCTTGCCAACACTTGTTATTGTTCATCTTTTTCAGTAATAGCCATTCTCATAGTTTTGACATGGTGTCTCACTGTGATTTTAAATTTGCATTTCCCTGATAAGTGATGTTGAGCATTTTTATGTCTTATACCCATTGGCCATTTGTATGTCTTCTTTTAGAAATGTCTATTCAGGTCCTTTACCCATTTTTTAATCAGCCTCTTTGTTTTCTTGGTATTGAGTTGTTGGAGTTCCTTGTGTATTTTGGATATAACCCCTCATTAGATGTATGGCTTATAAATATTTTATCCCATTCTGCAAGTTGTCTCTTCACTCTATTGATTGTTTCCTTTGCAGTGCAGAAGCTTTTGTTTGATATAGTCCCATTTGATTTGTCTTTTTTGTTGTTTTGTTGTTGCTGGTGCTTTTAGGGTCATATTCATATAATTGCCCAGACCAGTGTCATGGAGCTTTTTCTCTATGTTTTCTTCTAATAGTTTTACAGTTTGGGGTCTTAGAGTTAGGTCACTTTGAGTTTTGTTTTGTTTGTCTGAGACAGAGTTTCACTTGTTGCCCAGGCTGGAGTGCAGTGGTGCGATCTTGGCTCACTGCAACTTCCGCTTCCTGGGTTCAAGTGATTCCCCTGCCTCAGCCTCCTGAGTAGATGGAATTACAGGCACATGCTACCACACCCAGCTAATATTTTAAAATTTTAGTAGAGATGGGGTTTCACAATATTGGCCAGGCTGATCTCAAACTCCTGACCTTGTGATCTGCCTGCCTCGGCCTCCCAAAGTGCTGGGATTACAGGTATGAGCCACCGTGCCCGGATGAGTTGAGCTTTTAATATGGTGTGAGATAAGGGTCTAACTTCATTCTTCTGCATGTGGATATCTAGTTTTCCCAGCACAATTTATTAAAGAGACTGTCTTTCCCCATTATGTTTCTTCACACGTTTTTCAAAAATCAGCTGGCTGTAATATGGATTTGTTCTTGGGCTCTCTTTCCTATTCTTTTGGTTTAAATGTCTGTTTTTATGCCACTAAAAAAGTGTTTTGATTACTATGGCATTGTTGTAACTTTGAAATCAGGTAGTGTGATAGCTCTAGCTTTGTTCTTTTTGCTCAAGATTGCTTTGGCTATTCAGGGTCTTTTGTGGTTCTGTATTAATTTTAGGATTTTTTTCTACTTGTGTGGAAAATGTCATTGGAATTAGTGGGGATTGCATTGAATCATTACATCACTTTGGTTAGTATGGACATTTTAGCAATATTAAGTGTTCCAATCTATGAACATGGGATATCTTTCCATTTATTTGTGTCTTTAATTTCTTATATCAATGATTTACAATTTTCAGTGTACAGATCTTTTACCTTCTTGGTTAAATTTATTCCTAAGTATCTTATTTCTTGTAACAAGAGTTACAAAAAATTGTTTTCCTGATTTCTTTTTCAGGTAGTTTGCTATTAGTATATAGAAACATTATACACTACTGATTGTTGTATGGTATCCTGCAACTTTACTAAATTTGTTTATTAGTTCTAACAGTCTTTTTGGTGAATTCTTTCAGCTTTTCTATATATAAGATCATATCACCTGCAAATAAGGACAATCTTCTTCCTTTCCAATTTGGATGCCTTTTACTTCTTTCTCTTGCCTGTTTGCTCTGGCTAGGACTTCCAGTTCCAGTACTATGTTAAACAGAAATGCGAGTGGAAGTCCTTGTGTTGTTCCTGATCTTAAAGGAAAAGCTTTCAGTTTTTCACTGTTGAGTATGGTGTTAGCTGTGGGTTTGTCACATATATCCTTTACTGGTGAGGTACATTTCTCCTAATTTGTTGAGAGCTTTTATCATGAAAGGATGTTGAATTTTGTCAAATGCTTTTTCTACATTGAGATGATCATATGGTTTTTGTCCTTCATTCTGTTAATGTGGTGTATTATATTTATAGATTGGCATATGTTGAACCTTCTGTGAATCCCTGACATAAATCTCACTTGGTCATGGTGATTAATCTTTTAATATGCTGTTGAATTAGTTTATTAGTATTTCGTTGAGAATTTTTGCATCTTGGCCAGGGACGGTGGCTCACACTTGTAATCTCAGCACTTTAGGAGGTCAAAGCCTGAGGATGACTGACCCAGGAGTTCAAGACCAGCCTGAGCAACATAATAGGACCCTGTCTATACAAATACACACACACACACACACTTTTTTTTTTAATTAGCTGAGTATGATGGTGTGCACCTGAACAACCTGCTACTCAGGAGGCTGAGGTGGAAGGATCACCTGAGTCTGAAAGGTCAAGGTTGCAGTGAGACATGATCACACCACTGCACTCCATCCTGGGTAACAGAGGGAGACCCTATCTCAAAAAAAAAATAATTTTTGCATCTATGGTCCTCAGGAATATTGGCCTGTAGCTTTTTTTTTTTTTTTTTAATATTTGCCATAGTTTGATGCCAAGTTTTCTTTTTAATAGTGCCTTTGTCTGATTTTGGTGTCAGGGTAATGCTGGCCTTGTAAAATGAGTTTGGAAGCATTCCTTCCTCTTCAGTTTTTTGGCAGGATTTGAGAAGGACTGGTATTAGTTCTTCTTTTTTTTGAGATGGGGTCTTGTCCTCTTGCCAGGCTGGAGTGCAATGGCATGATCACAGCTCACTGCAGCCTTCACTGCCTGGGGTCGAGCAGTTTTGCCAGCTCAGCCACCCAAGTAGTTTGGACCATCAACATGCTTCACCACACCCAGCTAATTGTTTATTTTTTGTGGAGACAGGTTATCTCTGTTGCCCAGGCTGATCTCGAACTCCTGGGCTTAAGCAGTCCTCCAACCTAAGCCTCCCAAAGTGCTGGGATAACAGTTTTTTAAATGTTTGATAGCATTCAGCAGTGAAGCTGTAGGATTCTGGTCTTTTCTTTGATGCGAGACTTTTTTTTTTTGAGACAGTCTCGCTCTGTTGCCAGGCTGATGCCGTGACATGATCTTGACTCACTGCAACCTCTGCCTTCTGGGTTCAAGAGATTCTCCTGCCTCGGCCTCCTGAGTAGCTGGGACTACAGGCACATACTAGCATGCCCAGCTAATTTTCGTATTTTTAGTAGAGATGGAGTTTCACCATGTTGGCCAGGATGGTCTTGATCTCTTGACTTTGTGATCCGCCTGCCTCGGCCTCCCAAATTACTGGGATTACTGATTCAATCTGGTTTTTTCTTTAAGGCTTAAAATGTATTTTAACAAGTTGATGCTGCATTTCTGCTCCATTTCTCAG